CTACACTATTTGTCTTTCTGTGTCTGGCTTATTTCACTTAGCATAATGTCCTTTGGCTTCATTCATGTTATCACAGATTGAAGATTTCCATCTTTTTTATGGCTGAATGATACCCTGTTGAATACATATACCACATTTTCTGTATCCATTCATCCATTAATGGACACTTAGATTGTTTCCATATCTTAGCTATTATGAATAATGCTACAATGAATATGGGAGTTGATATATTTCTTCAAGATACTAATTTCATTTCCTTTGAATATATTCCCAGAAGTAGGGTTGCTGGATCACAAGATAGTTCTGTGTTTTTTTGAGGAACCTCAATACTGTTTTCCATTTTAAAGTTGAAATTTGAGAGTAGTCCTCATGTGTTCTCACCACACATATAATACACATATAAATGGTAACCATGCGAGGTGAAGGATGTGTTACCTAGATTTTGGTCATCATTTCATATCATATATGTATATTATATAATCATGTTGCACACCTTAAAAATCATTTTGTATGTATGGCCTTAATATATAACATTTTTATTTGTCAGTCATACCTCAATAAAGCTACGGAAGAAAGAAGGAGAGGAATTAGAGACTGAAAATATAAACAAGGCTTTTAGGAGTTTTTTTCTGTAAAGGGGAACAGAGAAATGAGGTGGTAGAGTGGTAGTTTGTGGGTGAAGAGAGGTGGCATTTTGGTTTTTCAAAATTGGAGAATTACAGCATGTTTCTTTGCTAATTGGAATCATTGGGTAGAAAGGGAAAAATTGATGCTGCAGGAGAAAGAAACGAACATTGTTCAAGAGATACCTTTGAGTAAATAAGAGAGAGTAGGATCCAGTGAACAGCTCAGTAATTTGGAATATCCATAATGTCTAGTATCCTTCCATTCAAGCATTCAAAAAAAAAAAAACTTTACTCAATACCTGCTCTGGGTCAAAGTATTTGCCAGGAGCACTTATAACAAAGATACCTAAGACCTAGTTTCTGCAAAAAAAGTAGAAAAACCTCTAACAGACAGATATATATAATACAGTTTAATAATATATAATAATACAAATATACCAAAAGCACTAGGAAGGAGCCCAGGACAGTGGGCAATTAGCTCTGCCAAAGAGCATTGTGGCATTTGCAACTGCACTAAATATGCTTTATTATCTAAGGAAGAAGTTAGTTTATTTTCAAGCAATTCTGTACAGTAGTATTAAAACATAGCAATTCCATTTTAAAACAAGTACTTTAGATCATTATAAAGTACTTCATCCTTGTCAGTGTTCTTAAAATTATATTTAGTGTTCTATTTGTGTTTAATTACAGCTAAATATAGTTCATAATAAAAAAGACTGCTTACCTTTAATTTCAGAATAAAATTCAAACAAAATCTAAAAATAATGATTTTTCAACTCTACTACATTTATTAGAATACAGATACACAGTGCACAATTCTCACCTGTCTGTAAATCCAAGTTAAAAAGGTCCAGATGTGCAATAGATATGAAAGCCAAGTAACAAAGTAGTTTAACTGTGTGACACTAGCACAGAGATATCACAAGGCTTATGATAGGGTATCAAATGTACTCTACAGTTAATAAATGCTTTGTGCTTAGAGGAGTAAAAAAATTATGAGGTAGTGGTCAGCAAAATTCTTAAATGGGCTCTTTTTTTTTTACTATGTTCTTGGCTATAATTATTAATTTTCATCATTAATTAGTAAATGTAAGTGTCATTACCTAAAGAGATGTCTTAAAATTTTTCAGATTATTTTTAGAGATATTATTAATTTATGTACAGTTACATAAAGAATGAGTCAAATGTGTTTAATAAGCCTTTACAAACCATACAAACCTACAAGTATTTTTACTTTTATTTTATTTAAAAATACTTTTAGGTTTGTATGTATTAAAATACATATATTAATAATAGTGTACATTTGATTTAAATCTAACAATGATGTTTATAGTACCCTTTTATTTTTAGCCAGTAGTACTACAGCAACAAGCCGTAAAGTTGTTTTTCCATTTGAACTTTGCTGTCTTGTGAAATTAAAATACTGCTATACATGGAGTAGCAAACATTTCTAAGCTGCACTCAAAGATCTCTGTATTTGGAATTAGAAATAATTTAAGCTATTGTTTCTTTTTCAACTTGCCAAGGACTGCTATTTATGTAAGAATGTTACCTCATTCTCTTATTAAGTCTGTTTCAATACTGCAGCGCAATAAAAAAATTATAAAAGGAGCAATAGCTATAAGAATATGATTTCTTAATTATTAACTAATACTTCTAAAAATGGTTATTTTTACTTGCATTGCTAAAATCATAGTTTTATAATCAGTAAAAGCAAAAGCCTGATGTCTTACAAAAGTACATTTTAATTAAGATTTTGATGTTTTTTATTTAATTCAATATCTTTTTCTCAATTTTATGTTAGCAATATATGGTATACTTCTATTTAAAAATCACCAAAAAGTGTTTAGTCTTCTGCAAAATTTCTCCTGTGGTTAATAATAGAACCAGACATATCAAAGGTTTAATTACATACCTCAATGACTTAGCTTATTGAGAATCTCAAAAGATGACCCAAAATACAACAAATACAATTATGTATTTCATATTCTGTGTGTGAAGTATGTTTCTTCTTGTTTTTGTACATATATATTTGAGTTTAAACAACCAATCAATTCTTTGAAAAGCATCAAACTACTTTCAAATAAGATATAGAGCACATAAAACAACTGCTTATTTATTGCATTATTCACATTCTTTTTTTTTTTTTTTTTTTTTTTTTTTTTTTTTTTTTTTTTTTTTTTTTTTACATTTTATTTTATTTTTGAGACAGAGAGAGACAGAGCATGAACAGGGGAGGGGCAGAGAGAGAGGGAGACACAGAATCGGAAGCAGGCTCCAGGCTCTGAGCCATAAGCCCAGAGCCTGATGCGGGGCTCGAACTCACGGACCACGAGATCGTGACCTGAGCTGAAGTCGGACGCTCAACCGACTGAGCCACCCAGGCGCCCCTGCATTATTCACATTCTGAAAGATTTTCTTAGTGACATGTAGAAACAGTGTTAAACTTGTTAATTGCTTCAGTTTCAGTGCACATGATGAAATTGAGTTTATTTTAAAAACCAGATTCTGAAGAAATAAGTTGTAGTTTTGAAAACACAGAATTCAGAACATTGAAAATCTGGATAACTGAATATGCCAAGCAGTTGAATAGACATGACAAAGGAGACCTTTCCTAAAACCTTTACACCACACTGGAAGGACAGAATATATCGACCTGCATCAGCTCTCCCTAAGCTTTCCCTTTGTAAAGAGATCTACTCCATGAGAATTTTGGAATCTTAGATGACTGTCTATAAATTCATTTGCATACTTTGAAAAGAAGCCATTAAATAAACACTACATTTTTTTGGCTCATTTATAATTTTAACATATCTAGTTCATTTTCAGATTTTCCAGGAGCTTAGCAAAATATACTACGTAAACTCTATCATTCATTGTACATAATATAAATCCATAAGGTTACATTTTCTGTAGGAACAGAATTAGAAGTCTCCTAATGGAATTTTTTTAAATACATAGACTGATCATAGTAATTGATCATGAAATTTAGCTGGGCAAGGAGGGAAATGAAGAGGATATACAGTGACCCAGAGGTGTCGCAAGGTGAGAAGATCAGTAGACTAAGGGGGAGGATATTTGGACTTGGAGTGCTGTAGGGATGCACTAGAAATACAGAAGGTGGTAGTGAAAAGTGGGATACTTGAAGGGATTACAGTCTTGGGAGAGGACAGGATTAAGCATATGACTACGGGAAAGGGAGAAGGAGAGAACCTCGAGAAACTCAGTGACCAGAGTATTGGAGGGTGAATATTGAAGTCCCCAAGAATCATGGCACAAGTTTCAACCCTGGCAGTACATACTTCCCAACTGTGTGTCCTTGGACCAGTTACATAACTTGTCTCAATTTCTTCATCTGGTAAAATGAGGGTAAGGATAATATATTTCTCATAAGTATGAGGATTAAACAATTTAATACTTATAAAAGCACCTTAGTATTGATATATGAGTTAGTACTGTTGTCATGATCATCAAAATCATTGTTATGATCCAGTCCTGTGTGTGTCTTTGCTTTTCATTTAAAGTGTATTTAGCAATTATTTTATGCCAGGCATTGTGCTCGGTATCCTTTTTAAAGTTTTGTATGATTTTCTTTGGCCCTTTTGTGCTTCAGGAATTTCAAGTTGGTCAAAAATAATACACTGAAGCCTCACCAAAAAGTTATCCTTGAAGTCTGTGCCATGAGTTCTGCTTGCTTAAAGTAAAATGCTGTTTAGTAAGAATATAGACCTAGAGGGGAGGCAGAATAGACCAAAGCAGTGATTACTTGGATCTGGAAACTAGACTTGTTCACAATAGCAAAAGAGATGCTTGGGGAGAGAGCCAGCTATAGGCCATAAAAGGGAATCTAACCATATTGCTGAAGCATGGTGGTATATCCAGAATGTATTGTGACAGGAGTTGGGGGGCAGACAAGATGGGAAGTTAGCATTGTAGTGTTTCAACATGAAACAGTGGATTAATGTCCTTGCAGGCAGGTTAAACGCAAGGGGCTAGTATCTTGGAGATTGGCTATCAAGATGTAGGCACTTGGGCATTGGAGAACAAGACAGAAGATGAAGTAAAATCCCTAAAATAATGTACTCTTTGTAAAGGACCATACACTTAAAGTCAAGGGCTCCTAAGAAAGTAAACCTAGGCTATTCTTAATTATTTATAAAAGAATGCCTTAAGATTGCATTATCATCTGGCCAATTACTACAGGCAGTTTCACCTTCTGGCTCAAAACACACATTTTTCATCTACACAAATGCCAACCATAACGTTGCATATGGGTGAGTGTGTTTTGCAGACTGTAGCTAAAAATCAGTGTTAAGTTTGAGCGGACATGGGGAAGAAAAACAATGTGATGTGAATTTTGTTCTCTGTGTTTAGGCAAGCTACGACCTATATCTATGCCAGTGGAATATAATTGGGTGGGGGACTATGAAGATCCAAATAAGATGAAGAGAGATAGTAGAAGAGGTAAGTGTTCTAGAATTTCAGTGTAGGCTGGGTTGTTGGAACAAAAAGCAAATTTAAATGTTCTTTAAATAGGATGTTATGGCTTCAGTGGAAAACTTCATTCTGTCATTGACTTTATGATACACCCAAACCAACTCAGACCAGCATTTAACTATCTTGATATGGTATTAAATAGATATCTTCTCTGAATGTCTCTTAAGGGATTCAGGGTAGATAAGAACACTGTTAAAAAATAAATATCTGATTGTTATTTGAAAGTTACTATTTGGAAAACAAGGTCAGAAGTGTGAAACTGCATAAAAGAGTTAAGTTCAGTGAATAGGAAGAGATTGTAATCAGTCCCCATTGGTCCGCAATGCAAACTCATTACTTTTGTATTAGTAAAATCTTAAAATGAGCATTGACATACATGAGTAAAGCTAATGGAAACTGGGCCAGTGACTCTAATGAAAACCATATAGAAATGGAAAAAAAATGCTTTGCTTTTTTTTCTCTTCTGTTTGCTGTTCAGGGTTATCTTCTTACTTGGGGGTGGGCTACACTTGAAGTATCTACCAAAAGTAAGTTTTTATGTTCACTTGTCCTGCTATTGAGGTGAGCCGTAAAGAGAGCCGCTGAAAGTCTCTCTACTAAGTGGGATTTGACCAACTGTGGATATGGTAGGCTACTTCTGCTTTCAGAAATAGAGAGCCATAAAGTTGTAGATAAAAAATAAAACAAAGCAAAAAAGTATTCATAGAACCTCAGCTCACTAAGCTTCCTTCATAAATATTGAACCCATTTGCCTGTTATTTCTAGCCACTGTACAGAATTTGCCATACAGGGATAACCAAGCACGAATATTTGCTTTATTAGTCTATTCAACACTGGTTTTATGGAGTGAGCGTTTCAGAAAATGTTAGTGAATACAGGAACATTGACAGATTCCTTTACATCTATGTATTCATTCCATTTTCCAAACTTTAGTTTCTAACTTCATTTGTTTTATAGAATTAATCAAGAAAAAATAAAAAGAGAAACGCTTATCATACGCCATTTCTGAGTCACTGTTTTGGGAGTTCATATGATAGTGCTATCTTGGGGGAAAAATGCCTTATGAAGTTCTAAGTGCTGGCTATCAGTGTAAGCATAGATTTTATGAACTGAGTTTCCTGATTCAGAATGTGGGCCTTAAGTTGTCCAAAAATGCTACCTAGTCGGTTAGAAGTCAGTGTTTGTCATCAATTTTAGCAGAATCCCACTGGGGGAACTTGTTAAAAATTGTATGAGCCACACACCCAGAACTACTGATTCAAGCTTCAGTGATTCTCATGTAGTTGGTCCAGAGATAAAATCTGGAGAAATAATCTATAGGCTATTTCTGATTGCCCTATGATCCCAAATAAGGTTCTCTATATTTTCACTACATAGGTATTTTATAAATAATCCAGTTACATTTCTGAAATGACATCTAATAGCACAATTAGGAGAGAATGGTAAATTTGGAATATTTGCATATTTATATTGGTGTATTTATCTGTTTTTATATAGAAAACTCTCTACTCCGATATATGAGCAATGAAAAAATTGCTCAAGAAGAATACATGTTTCAGAGAAACAGCAAGAAGGACACAGGGAAGAAGTCTAAAAAGAAGAGTGATAAGAGTAATAGCCCAACTCACTATTCACTGCTACCTAGTTTGCAAATGGATGCACTGAGACAGGACATCATGGGCACGCCTGTGCCGGAGACCACACTATACCACGTAAGTAAAATTTCAAAGACTCTGTGCTACAGCTTTTATTGGGAGCCTGGCAAATGACTCTTTGGGGGTAAATTCCAGATATTGTATCTTTATCCCTTTGCCAGATTTCCACAAAAGATCCTAAGTTTAGAAAATTTTTAAAAAACCTTGATGGCTTGATTTGTTCTTTAGTTCATCTGTTCAGTGAGTTCATATGTTGTACCAGGTTCAATTTTTTAATGAAATCATAGGCTCAAAGTGACAGAGAATGATAATTAATTAGTTGATTAATCACCTAAAATAATAAATAGTAAATGGATGGCTATCAAGTTCAAATTAAAGATAGGATTTTTAATATATTCATGATTTCATTTAAAAATGAGCATCACGGGGTGCCTGGGTGGCTCAGGCGGTTAAAGCATCGACTTGAGCTCAGGTCATGATCTTGCATTTCATGGGTTCGTGCCCCACATCGGGCTCTGTGCTGACAGCTCAGAGCCTGGAGCCTGCTTCCGATTCTGTGTCTCCCTCTCTCTCTCTGCCCCTCCCCTGCTTGTGCTCTGTCTCTCTCTGTCCCTCAAAAATAAATAAATGTTAAAAAAAATTTTTTTAATGAGCATCTCTTGGGGCACCTGGATGGCTCAGTCAGTTGAGTCCGACTTCAGCTCAGGTTGTGATCTCATGGTTCGTGGGTTTGAGCCCCGTGTCAGGCTCTGTGCTGACAGCTCATACATAGGCTGGAGCCTGCTTGGGATCCTGTGTCTCCCTCTCTCTCTCACCCTCCCCTGCTCATGCTCTCT